CACACCAGAGTGCCTGGGTTCAGGTCTCAGCTTTGGCTGCTGGCTCTAGCTTCCTGCCGATGCAAAACATGGGAGGAAACTGTGATATTTCAAGTGATTGGGCTCTCACCACCCCTGTGGGAGACCGGGGTTGACTTCCTGGCTCTGGCTTTGGTCCCACCCAGTTCCAGCCATTGGGGACATCTGAGGGGTAAGCCACTAGATGGCAATTCGGACTATGTGTTTGTATGTCTCGCTCTCTGCCTCTCAAATAAATAAATATTTTTTAAATAAAAAAGGGGCCTGTCTTGTGGCATAATAAGTTAAGCTACTAGGAGCACCGGTTCAAGTCCAGCTGCTCCACTTCTCATCCAGCTCCCTGCTAATGCACCTGAGAAAGCAGCACAAGATGGCCTAAGACCTCGGGCTCCTGCTGCCCACGTGGGAGACCAGGATAGAGTTCTGGGCTCCTAATTTTGGCCTGGTCCATACGTGGCTATTGTAGCCATTTGGGGAGTAATCCAATGGATGGAAGATCACTCTTTCTATCTCTTCCTTTATGTCACTCTTCCGTTCAAATAAATAAATAATCTTTAAAAAAAAAAAAAAAGCAGGGGCCAGCATTGTAGCATTCCTGGTAAAACTTCCACCTGCAGCACCAGCAACCAATTTGGGAGCCAGTTTGAGTCCCAGCTGCTCCACTTCTGCTCCAGCTCCCTGCTAATGGCCTGAGAAAATAGTGGAGGATGGCCCAAGTACTTGGGCTCTTGCCACCCATGTGGGAGAACCAGAAGAATCTCCTGGATCTTGGCTTCTGCCTGGCCCAGCCCTGGCCATTGTGGCCATCTGGGTAGTGAACCAGCTGTTAGATGATTGATCAATCTCTCTCTCTCCCTCCCTCCCTCCCTCCCTCTCCTTGCATCTCTGACTTTCACATAAATAAAATATAAATCAAGAGCCGGCATGGTGGCTCAGCAGGTTAAAGCCACGGCCTGCAGGGCCAGCATCCCATTATGGGCACTGCTTTGAGTCCCAGCTGCTCTATTTCCGATCCAGCTCCCTGCTAATGTACCTGGGAAAGCAGCAGAGGATGGCCCCAGTGTTTGGGCCCCTGCACCCATGTGGGAGACCTGGAAGAAGCTCCTGGCTCCTGGCTTCGGCCAGGCCATCCTGGCTGTTTGAGGGCATTTGGGGAGTGAACTAGCAGATGGAAAATCAATCTCTCTCTCTCTCTCTCACTCCTCTCTTTCTGTAACTCTGCCTTTCAAATAAGTAAATAAGGGGCCGACACTGTGGCATAGCCAGTAAAGCCACTGCCTACGGTGCCAGCATCTCATATAGGCGCCGGTTCAAGACCCTGCTGCTCCACTTCCAATCCAGCTCTCTGCTATGGCCTGGGAAAGCAGTAGAAGATGGCCCAAGTCCTTGGGCCCCTACTCCCATATGGGAGACCCGCAGGAAGCTCCTGACTCCTGACTTCAAATCAGCACAGCTCTGGCTGTTGTGGACAACTGGGGAGTGAACCAGTGGACGGAAGACCTCGGAAGACCTCTCTCTCTCTCTCTCTCTCTCTCTCTCTCTACCTTTCCTCTCTGTGTAACTCTGACTTTCAAATAAATATATAATTAAAAAAAGTAAATGAATCTTTAAAAAATCTTTAAAAAAACCTAAATATTGTATTGCAAGAAAATTTAAAAAATAAAAAGCTCACAGGGGCTGGGGTGGGAGTGGGAGAGGTAGAGTTTTCGGAGCCCATGGTCCAGCCTGTCACCTTTAATGTCTCCAAGTTGGCTCATCTCCATGACACTTCCTCTGCAGTGGCTTTAAGGCTCCTGTGCCCCAGCAGCAAGTCCCTGGCAAGAGGGGTTCTCACGGGAGGGAAGCCGAGCCCCGGGCAAGGGTGCCAGGTCCAAAGTCACCAGCTGAGGTCACCTCTGTCCTCTCCTGCCCGCCAGCCCTGAGAGATGGACAGGTCGCCGGCTCCTCTCACCTGTGTTTTCTCGTGTCTGCATTAAGATAACAGCCCTAGTCCACAGAGCTGCTGCGAGGGTCAACAAGCTAATGTCCATTAAGCACGCACACGGCTTTTGTCATTGGATAAACATAGCACTTGTGTCGTCTTTCTGTGGTTTGTGCTACGTGATGCTGCTGACTCCTGACATTCGGTGTCTCTTTCCCATGCTCCAGGACTAGGCTGAGGTTTTCATTTTCCTGTCCCCTCCCCTCCCCTCTCCCTCTCCTCTCCCTCCCCTCCCCTCCCCTCCCTTCCTCTCTCTTCCCCTCCCCTCCCTCCCCTCCCCTTCCTTTACCTTCCTGAGAGAGAGAGAGAGAGAGAGAGAAAGAGAGCAACCTTCCATCTGCCCCCAAACAATCGGGACTTGTCTGGGCTGAAACCGGGAGCTGGGAAGTGAACCCAGGTCTCCCGCATGGGTGGCAGGAATCCAGCCCCTTAAACCATCACTGGTGGGCCAGCGCCGTGGCTCACTAGGCTAATCCTCCGCCTTGTGGCGCCGGCACACCAGGTTCTAGTCCCGGTCGGGGTGCCGGATTCTGTCCCGGTTGCCCCTCTTCCAGGCCAGCTCTCTGCTGTGGCCCGGGAGTGCAGTGGAGGATGGCCCAAGTGCTTGGGCCCTACACCCCATGGGAGACCAGGATAAGTACCTGGCTCCTGCCATCGGATCAGCGCGGTGCGCCGGCCGCAGCGCACCGGCCGCGGCGGCCATTGGAGAGTGAACCAACGGCAAAGGAAGACCTTTCTCTCTGTCTCTCTCTCTCATTGTCCACGCTGCCTGTCAAAAAAAACAAAAAACAAAAAACAAAAAACAAAAAACATCACCAGTGCCTCCCAGGGTGTGCATTAGCAGGACGCTGGAGTCAGGAGTGGAGCTAGGACTTGAATTCAGGCTCTCTGCGTTTTAACCGCCGGGCCCTCCACTATGATGCTTTTAACAGTGCAGCATTTTTCCCATATCAGATCTTATATAGAACCCAAATATCTGAAACTGATGGATGTGGAGTTGTGCTTGTTTCCACGGGCATGGGGCTAGATAGGCAGCCTTGCCCCCAACTTCCCTCCTGTGGAGCCCTGGGGTCCTCCCACAGACCTCCACCTAAGACAAACTCCTCACTTTCTTTCTGGGCCCAAAGTCGTTGTTGCTGACACGGTGCAGCACCACTGCTGTGGTTTCTGCTTCCTGAGCAACCTCCTTGTCCCGGTCCTGCTTCCCTTGGCAGGAGGTATGAGGGAGCCCAGACTCTGCATTCACACCTGTGGCGTCCTTTGGCCACCTTAGGAGTGCATGGACTTTGCTGTTGCATTTACTTCATCATCTATGACTTGGGATGCTGTTGGGTTGCCCTGGCATGCATGGCCAACCTGAGAATGAAATTTAACATTTGTCTATTGCTCAATAAGACTATGTTTCTAAGTAAATCCCCAAAATAGGGGGGAAAAATCCTCTGCCGTATTCTGTGTCTTGGTTTCTGGTTTGTGAAATGGTGCTAATGAGGATTGGAGTCCTGTGCGTGGGACCCAGGCCTTTCTGTCCACCCCAGACAGAGTGAAGTGAATTCTGTTTGGCTTGATTCCCTGTCTTGTCATCAACCTCTGAAAGATAAGCTTCATCTTTCTTTTTTTCCCTCTAATGGCTTTATTGAAATATAATTCACCTATCACATAATTCATTCACTGAAAGTGTGCAATTCAGTGGTTTCAGTGTATTCTCAGAGTCGTCAACCATCACCATAATCCATTTTAGGACATTTTCACCCTGTCACAAATGAAGTGCCAAATGCATTCACAGGCACTCCTCATTTCTCCCCAGCTGCCCTCCGGCAGTTCTAGACAACCACTAACCTACTTTCTGTCTCTATACAGTCACCTGTTCTGGAGAGTTCGTAGAAATGGCATCATCCAGCATGTGATCTTCTGTGTCTGGCTTCTTTCACTTAGCATGTTTTCAAGGTCCACCCATGCACCTGTCCTGTATTCCTGTGTTTGTCATTGAATGAAGTTCCATCGTATGGGTAGACCATATTTTATTTATCCATCAGTCAGTGGGCATGTAGGTTGTTGCCGTTTTCTGGTAATTACAAATAATACTGCTAGGAATTTTTGTATGCAAGTTTTTGGATGGAGATTTTCATTTTTGTAACTTTCCCTCTCTAGAGAATTAAGGACCTCAGTACTAGATTGATTGAGTGCCTTCTGTGTCAAAGACACTTTGGTGACTACATACTGTCCCAGGTAATCCTCAGAATAACCCCAGGAGGAGGCTTTCTGCACTTCCTTACAAGTGGGGAACTGAGTGATGAAGGGTAGAACCAGCACTGGAAGCGGGGTCTCTGTGATGCTATAACCCTTACTCTTCGCAATGGGCGGCTCTCGGTGCTAGTCCACTGTGGCCATCCACATTGATGAAGTCTGTGCCGGGCCATCTACCTACATTATCTTCTTGATCCTCACGAACATCGCTGTTCCTGCTGTTCAGTGAGGAAGAGAGGTCCTGAGAAAACGTGTGGCTCCCCTGGTGACATGGCTCACTGGTGTCAGGTCCTGGGAGCCAGCACTCAGCATTTCTGCAGCTGCCCCTTCATGCCACACTCTGGCCTCCTGTAATGCCCTTTCACCTTGGAGAGAGTTCTTCACGTGCCCAGAATTCCAGTTCCAAAAGACGGCCGGTCTCCTTTCCTTTACACACGTGTGCCTGTCTGTGTGCATGTAGACGTGTGTCCGAGGGCATCATGGCCCCTGGGCTGAGGGACCTCACACAGACAAGAGCCTGCCAGGGCACCCCAGGGCTCCGGGCATGCACGTTCACACCGGAATGCCCTGCCCTGGCTACCCTGAGCTCTGGAGAATGCAGAGAACCTGCTTTGGAGGCTCGTTCTGAGGCTGGCCGGGAGGATGGGGTCGGGCAGAGCTGCCTGGAAGAGGAAGGTGGCCACAGGGGAGGCTGGAGAAGGTGGGGTGACAGTGGCGGGTGAGTACCAACTGTCTCCCTGTGGTTGCCTGCCCACAGCTGCTATCTTGGACGACCCCATGGAGTGCAGCCGAGGGGAACGGCTGTCCATCACCCTGGCCAAGAACCGCATCAACCGCGCTCCTGAGAGGCTGGGCAAGGCCAAGGTCGAAGTGGACATCTTTGAGCTGCTCAGAGACAGCGAGTACGAGACTGCAGAAACCAGTACGTAGAAGGGGCAGCGGTGCCCTCTGCCTCCGTGGCTGGCAGAGGGTGAGCTGGCGGTGTGAGCCGTGTCCATTGCTAGGCCTCTGATGCAGATATCCCCAGGGGCGGGGGAGAAAGTGCACCAGGAGCCCCCGAGGGCTCTCAGCCTGGATTAGTCTCAGGTTTTGTTGTGAGTCACGTGTGGAGTAGAGCTAAGACAAGAAATACGTTCATTCATTCATTGATCCACCCACTCATTCCTCCTTTCATATATCGATCCATTCACCTCCTGGACATTTTGTGCACAAATCCCTGAATGAAATCCTGTGTATCATTAAGAAAGAAGAGAGGGCCAGCCCGGGGCAGCTTAGCCATCTCATGACTGACCGATTGTCTTGCTTTCTCCTGCTGAAGACAGTGTCGTGGGAGTGAATTGGGACTTGGGTTGGAGTTTGACCAATCACCACGGGAACCTTGGGCCTCAGTTTCTTCAGCTATAAAATGGGAGTGCTAGGCTCTACTTTGCAAGGCTCACCAGTAGCGAAGATTTAAGTAAGCGAAAATATAGGAAAATCATCTGTGAATTGCAGTATTTTACAGAAATGCATAGGAGGGGGTCTTCAGAAAGTTCATGGAAAACCATATTATGAAAAAGCTCCATGGAGTTAAAAAATTTTTGTACCAAAATCAGCTGATGTTTTAATTCCATTTTCCATGAACTTTTTGCAGTAGCCGTAGGAGAGGTGACTAAACTTGCTCCTGTGGAGCCCCTGCCACGCGCAGGGCACCACTGTTCATTCTCACAGCAGCCTGAGAGTTAACTGTTTTTGGTTCCACTTTGGAGAAGAAAAATGGAGGCTCGAAGACATTGAGTGCTTTGCCCGCCCACTGAGCCAGGCAGTGGCTGAGCCGGACCTGGGACCTGCGAGCCCAGAGCACATCGGCTACCCTTCTCCTGCCATCCCCTGGCAGGTTGCTGGTATTGCCTTGGCGACCTCGCTGGATTAGGCCCAGATTAGTGGGTCGGCAACTTCCCAGGAAAGAGCCCCTGGTGGAGGCCGTGGATCCTTAGCATCTGTGCCCTGAGACTTTGCCGAGCACCCCTCTCCTGTCTCCAATCCGTTTAGACCTTTAACAGTGCTCAATGGCCAAAACAGAAAAACAATTTGCTCGCTGGAGTGTTTATGTCAGGCAGCTGGTGTTCCATTTGAGCATCTAGCAATGCCTGGGGTGTTAGGGGTGCAAGAGAAGAAAAACCTTTTACCCTGGCCCAGGCACTAGAGGTGGGACATTGAAAGGAGCCACACAGGCAAGAATGGAGGAAAGCCGTGGCTCCAGAGACTCATCAGAGTCATCCTCCCTCCCTCCCTCTCTCTCTCTCCCTCCCTCTCTCTCTCTCTCTCTCTCAGTGCTCTTGCAGTATTTTGCAGCATTGGATCCAAGCCCTCCCCCCTGCTAGTTTGGTTTCGCTGGCTTATTCATCATACACCTGTTCTCTAACGGCTCCCCAGGCCCAATTTATTCTCTTTGTTCACTCAGGAACCTTTATGGAGATTTTTCTTGATGTCAGGCACAACTTAGGCTCCCATGCGTTGGGAACAATCGGGAAGCAGGTCAGACACAGTCCCTTGCCCTCAGGTGGCTTGCAGTCCCTTCAGAGTGCACCCCAGCCAGGCCCCTCAGTGCCCCTGCATTCCCAGGGTACGGGATCCGATTAGCCCGGCTAGTCTTGCTGCGTGGCCCGTCTGACAGGTTGCAGGTGTTGGCCAGATTGCTTAGTAACTGCCTTGGGGAGAGTGTCCGCTCCTGGTCCGGCAGCTGTGACAGAAGGTGGCTCCTACTGCACGGACAGGAGGATCTCTGGGCTCCGAGGCCTCCAGGAGGGGGCATGGGAGACAAGCACCCACATGGTCATTCCTTCAGCATCTAGTCAGTAAGTCTTCAGTGAGCGCCTATTCTACTTTATTCTAGGCAACGAGAATCTGACATGAAACACACAAACATCCTGGCTGTTACAGAGGTTAATTTCTAATGCAGGGAAAGGAAGGTTCAGGTTTCCCAGGAGCTTCCAGAAGAAAGCAGAAGCGTCAGCAACGACTCCTTGTGAACCTCCTAATCCTGCCCAGGAGCGCTTCTTTGTCCCCAAGGACGGGTCTCAGACAAGGGCTCAGGTTGCTGGATGGTTCTGTCATCTGTGTTTGAGGAGCCAGCTCCTCCTTCCTGTCTTGGGTTCTTGGGGCTGCCCTGGTAGAACCCAGAGCACAGATTTTCCCATTGTGGACAGCACCATGCACAGATGCAAATTTCCTCTGCCGGTGACCCCTCCGCCTGGCTTAGTCAAGTCAGTACGTCTTAAATATTAAACTCCGTGAATCAGGGGGATGAAGGAAATTGCTATCTTTATTCCACATTACAGAGCTTTGGGTATCTTTTCATGCCTTTCTTTTATTCGCCAAGTATTTTATTACCAAATGGCCCTCAGTTCAGCTTTTACAGCTTAGTGTGTTTGAGACACAATTAGCATTTGTTAGAAAAGAGGGCTTCTGGATCTTTCTACCCCAAAGGCCAGCGTGCTCCCCCACAACAGGTTTTAAACACCATCCAGGTAGTTGTTAGAGAGATTCCAGCCCGCTGTCTGCCTCCTTGAGGGGGCGGGTGGGTGATGGGTTGGTGGTGGTGGCTGAAGCAATGACTGGAAATCAGCACAGGTCCTGGGACAGGGGAGTGGGAATGAGGGTCCCATGGTGGAGGAAGGACAACAGCTGTGATCTGTGATCTCTACTTTGGGGAGACTGCAGTACAGAGGTACTTCAAAAAGTTTGTGGATAAAGGAATTAAGAGATAAGTTTATTATGGTGCAAAAAAGTTTTAAAATTCATGCACATGAGGGTTCTTCATAAAGTTCCAGGCCCCCCATGTGGGTGGCAGGAACCGAGTTACTTCAGCTGTCACCACTGCCTCCTGGGGTCTGCATTAGACGAAGGAAGCTGGAGTCAGGAGACGGAGCTGAGAATCCAATCAGGTCTCCCGTGTGAAGCATGAGCATCTCAGCCACTAGGCTAAATGCCCACTCCAATTCCCTTCTGCTGGTTTACTCCCCAAGTGCCCACAATGACTGAGGACGGGCCAAGCCACAGCCGGGAGCCGGGAACCCAATCCAGATCTCCCATGTAGGTGGCAGGGACCCCGCTGCTCTGAATCCCAGGGTTGGAGTCAGCAGGAGGCTGGAGTCAGGGCTGGAGGTGGGGATCAAACCCAGGCCCTCTGTTGTGGCATGCAGGCATCTGAGTCCCTCGGCTAAACACGCCTGCTCCTCATCTCTAGATAACTCTACTGGTGAACACTGTGTCACTGCTATGTGACGCTCACCGCACACTGCGTTGTTTAGGGAGGCTGAGCATGAGCAGGACAGAGGCAGCGTCTGAAAGGATTCTGCTCTGCAGTTGGTTGAATCCGTGGAACCCACGCATCCGGAGGGCTGGCTGCATCCAGCATGCGGCAGCCTTGGCTTTTGTTGTTGGCTTTCGCCTCTCACCCTCCCCTGTCGGCAGCCTTCCTCCAGCCTCTCCCATCCTCCCCCTGTCTCCTGTGTTTTAAAGTTCAGCCATACCTCCATGTCAGTACCATCTCCAGGGCTCCTCTCAAGCGACCTGTTTGCTGTCAACTCCAACCCTAATTGGATAGTCCCCTTCCCTGCCTGGTTTTCTTGGCCTGATGCATCTGACAGCCTTGTGCTTTGGAGGCTGTGGTGGGCCGCCTCACGCCAACTGCCGCTCAGAGGCTCTGCTGTCTCTGGGCTAGTGGCCCAGGGCTAATCTCCACCATTAATTAAAAAACATGCAAGTGACTCTGGGGCCCCAGGCAGCTCCCCAAACCCCACCTATTCCAGGGTGTTGAAAGACACCCAGGTGACGGTGATGTTGGTTGGGAAGGGTAGAGGCTCTGATTGAGGCTGGGCTGATCCGATCCCACAGGTTGTGCAGTGGTGGGCGGGTTTCAAAGAGCTCTGTGCACACCTCCTCGGGGTTGGGAGAGTCTGCCTGGGGAGGCACCGGTTATTTCAGAACGAAGTGAGAAGAAGTCAGAGTCCAGAGGTCAGTCCCCCTCCACTGATGGTTGAGAGTGACGACTGCAGGTGGAAAACATCACACGGAGCATTAATTAGCAGCCAGCCTGGGCACTGGCAAGATGCAAGGAGAAATTGCCCTCTGTTCTAGATGGCTCAGGAAGCCAGATTCTCACGTAGGGCTTTATTCAAAGTGGAGGTGGCCGGTGCAGCATCCTGCAGTCCACATCGACCTCCCCTCCCTCTGCCCTTTCACCATTTCCGCCTGAGGCTTCCTGGTGTTTGACATCCCCACTCCCTCTCTGCAGCCCACGGATCTGAAATCAAAGGAATGGACAGCCCCTGTGGGGTCACCTCCCTCCTGCCCGGCCGGCCCCTCCCTCTCCGCTTCTGTATCTTATCTCCATCTCAGCCTTTCCTTTGCAGGGAGCTCCCACAAGGCATCGCGGTCCTCTGTTCCCATAGATCAGTGTGTCCCCTGCGGCCGATGTATTAGAGCTTAACTAAGTGCCCACCCCTTTGCCACGCAAACACCCCGAGGCACTGGCCCTGCTGCTGCCAGAGCCAGTCTGAGGTTCAGTTTCCTGCAGAGCTAGAGGCGGGGAGGGGGGAGCTCCCTGCGAGCCCCTCACCTGTGCCTCGGTTCGTCTCTGCGAGGCCGCGCATGCTATCAGCTGTTCACACTTGTTTCCCCTTGAAACCCAGGTGCACGCTGGTTATCGGAGCCTCGTGCAGCTGCAGCGCACCTCTGCGGGGCTGCTCCTCCTGCGCAGGCTTCTGAGCCTCTCGCAGGCTCCGTGGGCATGACCTCGGCGATTTGGAGCCGCCTCTAATAAGTGAGGTCGGCATCCCTCAATAGAATGAATCGAAGTCAGCATAAGGCAAAAAAAAAAAAAGAACTCACCGGAAGAGACAGGCACACAAATAGTGATGAGTCATCCAGCACAGTTCC